ATACTGATAATAATGATAACAATAATTATGATAATGATAACGATAATGATAATGATAATAATGATGATAATAGTAATAATAATAACATTATTAATAATAAGTTACAAAATGCTTAATTTATACCTCGTCTTTGTGCAGAGCCATCTTAAAGTGCTTAAAAAACAGATACTCTTTTTCTTCGCCATCACCCTCAAGACCTGCATACTTCTCAATCGCTTCGTATCCAAATGAGTCGAACGATAGATTGGGCTTCAGAAGCAGACATGTCGGGGTTTTGCTTGTTTGGGCACCTTGTTCATTCACCCAGTCCATGTTCATAAAAATAGCATCCCTTCCTTGATCTTTAATAAAGGAAAATGCGAATCCACTGTAGGTGGTACCAAAGTCAATTGCTACAACTGCAAGGTATGTGGACTTTGGCAAATAGAGGAGAGAATCCTCGAAAGCTGTGAAAACATAAAATTTAAAACTGTTTAGCCGTTCATCATGTGCCCTGCAATTTATTGAATCAAATAAGTTTGTCATTCAGTCATTTTAAAAGTGGTTTCGCTTTATATTAAACTTACCATTGGAAGCCATTTCAGATGCTTGAATTGCTCCAAAAGTGTAGATTTCTGATACGTATTCAGTCAAATAGTTTCCTTAGATGTGTTTTTCCAAAAGTCACCTGCGTTAGAGAGTTAAAGGGAAAATACCCTAGCAAATGTTATGACGAGAATGTTGATTAAAATTAATCACCCGTGTATTCTTGGAAAAGGGGCGTACTTATGCATGGTTAAGTTACTGATCACGAATTGCGAAAAAAAGGTCAAAATGGAATAAACATCCGCTCTTTCTCGGAAACATGACAGTGCGATAAACGGCTCAATTAAGATACAAAAAATCAAGCACATCTTAGATTTGCATACATTTCAAAGGTTATGGAAATTTGAGTTCCCGGACCTTGTTTTCCGCGAATCGAAATACATCCGGGAAACCATATTCTACACTGTGCTGCTTTCTTTTGTTATATTTTCACAACTTTTTACGTTTTGCTTCAGGTGATGTCGGCTAAATGGATTTCTAGCTCCAATTCGGTTCGACCAAGTATCGAGGACACTTCAAACTGGCAGAAACCTTCGTTGATTTGCAGTGACAATGATGCAATGTCAAAGGATGATCTTATTGAGGCAATTACACTTCGACTCACCCGACTGGAGGAGCTGGAGCAGGAGAATATAATTCTGAAACGAAAACTTAATAGGTACTTTCTTAACTATTTCCTTTTCGTGACTGCAGTATTTAGGAAACCGTGGAGTGTCATTGAGTGCAGTTAAATTATTCAGCTTACGATCGATCAAAAGTAACGCTTCCGCTTTTCAGCAAGCTAGAATCTTCGCCACATTCATTTTCTATTTATTTTTTTTTTTAATTTTCTTTATTTCTACTAGGAAAGGCCTTATATTTTAATGTAGCAATTATTTCATATCCCCTCTCGCAGCCTCATTACTCAATGTGAGTGACACGATTCGACATCTGTGACCTATAAAAACAAACTTGGTCAAGAAAGTAACGCATTAGGCATAAATAATTCTGCAGCAGGCGTTACAAATTGCAATTTTAATCCTATTCAAAAAAGAAATACTTAAGTTCACGATCACTTGACAGCATGAAGACAGATGAAGAATATATCTCAAGAGCGAAGCAAGTGCTAGAAGAGAAAGATAATGAACTGCGAAGGCTACGAGAGAGGTAGGACAGACGTATTAGTGTGAAGCGGTATATTTCTTTTCTCAAAAAGGGCTTGTGATTAGCTTCAAACACCCCTCCCCTCACCCTTGGTGGGGGCTTCCTTGTTTTGCATAAGCCACGGTAAGTCAATTGGTGCCCCTGAAAAGGATATGGTTTACATGGTTATTGGGTCTTTTTCACAAATGAGAGTCTTGAACAAGGTTTCTGTTTTGGACCAGCAGCCCTTGAAACAATGTGGGATCAGAATTTTTTCCCCTAAAATATAATTCCGTGATGTCAGTTTGAAAAAGTTTTGTAGGAAAAATTCGAAGCAAATAAAAATCGTGAAATAAGGTCATTTCTCTTAAACAGGCTGGTGTAATTAGCAATTTTGTTTTCAAGCACATAAACAGGCTCAAACTATTGTAACTAAAATAGGCAGCTAACAGCTACTGCATTTAGTCAAGTCAATATCACTATCATTATCATGGTCATCATTACTTTATTATTATTATTATTATTATTATTGTTATTATTTATTATTATTATTATTATTATTATTATTATTATTATTATTATTTTTATGATGATGATGATGATGATGATGATGACAGTATACACGTATGGGTATATGTGTTATACATAAAAATGTATGTATAAATAAATAAAATGATAAAACGACAAACTTTGAAAAATCTACAACTAGTAATGCTAAATATCCAAGTCTGTACATGTCCTTCATGATTAAAATGAAGTTTGTACCATGTTCCAACAACTTTAAAAGTCCGGACAATGTGTAAACTGCTCTTTTACACCTCTTTGCACTTGTTTCCTAACAACTGGCTAGGGGACCCCTCCATAGAACAAGACCATCCTCCCAAAACATCTATTATGGTGTTATATGGTGTGATCCTGTATCCCTTGAACTACAGCTTAAATTCCTAGCGTAAAGGCCTATACTTCAACACCTTCTCCTTGTCTTTTTTCTCTCGATTCTGGTTCCAAGGGCAGCTCATTTCCAGAGTTGTTACTGTCTTTACTTGATGATCTACTATCCTTGCGTTTACTCTGTTGGCCCTAACTTCAGGGTATTCCCACAAACATGGGAATATCCCAGTAGGCCTGCACATCCTGGCTCTCAAAGAGTGACTTTGGCTGCACTGGGGAGTACCAAGGTGGAACACTGTCAATTAGCTTTAGATCTCGTAGGAGCTCAAAAAATAACACCTTCAAGGCTGAGTTATGACTTTCTTGGTATTTGTCCCGTGCCAAAGCTGAGCAGCCAGCGAGGAACACTTTCTGGGCACTTCCCACATAACCTAGACATCACATCATCAGGCGGACTGGTCTTTGTCTTCTTGCTGGTTTAGAGCTTAGTCGGTTGAAGCTGCTCGTAGAGCTGACACATTCCTGCTACTGTGTAAGAAGGGCACTCATACCACTCCCATAGCCCACTAAAACACGCTTTTCTATCCAGACCTCGATCTTCTTTTCTGGCCGTGAGAAGCTTTCCTTGCCATTTCTCGTTTCGAATCTTATTTGTCCCATTACTTTCGCAACTACCTTCAGCTCATTCTTTTCACACGAAGTATCTTTTCCGTTCATGTCCTACACACGGGTTGGGGATGACTGAGCTCACATGAGATCCTCATCTCATTTGCATAAGATTGAGCCTCCTTTATCAACAACTTTTGGCCTTTAATTGAGGTGTGCTCTTTAAACTACCGAACCAACTGCTGTGTAGGGTCTTTGTTTCTGTACAGCTTTACTGCTGCTTTCACTTTTGTCTGCTTGTACTTCATCTCCACTGGGTTTAATCCACGCCCTCCGGTTTATTTTAATAATTATTTCTATTACTATTATTATCATCATTATCATTTTATTATTACTGAGAAAGGCTGAACCCAGGAGTCATTTCATAAGTAGGTTCAACTTGGCTGAGTACGATCGTCCTGGTGCGGTAAACATAGTCCTGAATAAGACTGATGTTGTTGACATTGACTGACGATTCAACAACCTGTACAGTCGTCTTCCGAGTCAATGTGACTTGTGTTACGTCTGTTGATAACATCAAACTTTGGTCATTGACCTGACTGGTGATCAGTTAAGTCACGATGTTATTGTTCGTCTGTCAGTTAAGCCGTGATGTTATTGGCTTTGAAGAGTCATAATGTCTTCGGTGCGTTTTTATCAATGTGTGTGTTCGGATACGTTGCAGCTAACTATACTTTAGCAGTAGGCGTTGTTTGTTTTTTCTCTATAATGATAATGATAAGGTCTTTTAATCTTGGCAACACTGACGCTCTAAACATAGACTTGGGGAGGGGAAAGTTTTTAACTGATAATTTGTATTCTACCTAAGAGAGAAATCAGCGCCATTTTCACAAATCACTCGTCTTGTTAAACGATTTCAAAGTAAACCTCAAATTCAAGCGTCATAGCCAAAGTAAACGCCTAGAATCGTAATAGTGTTACAAAGATTTGGCAAATCAGAATGCCCCTCCCAAACAGATCTACTATTTCCTAAAGCTGAGGCTTCGGTTTTTTCATTATTTACTTTTAAACCAGAACGCGCACTAAAATTCTTTAGCGCAACGAATAGGTCGTCATATCATCAACGAATAGTGAAAGTTTAACATCTTCGTCTCGTATCGTAATTCCCTTAACGCCGTCCTCGCCTGCCGTTGTACTGAAAGTACGTAGAAGTCAAACAGAGGTTGAGTAGGTCCACGATGTCGTCTTTAGGTAGTGGTAGTTCAATAGTACAGTTCTTAATAGCGTTCTTAGCACACTGATTCCAACACTCGGACCAACGTCAACTCCGGCCCTGTCACGACAGCGACTATGCCGTACATCACACAGGCACCTCTGAAACTATTGCACGTATACTACAACCTTAAAATATACGTGTTGCGAAATGGCGAAGTCAACAACTACCAGTTGCTTGTCAAGCACCATTTACAGACGAAACACTGATCAAATAGACTGGGAATCTGCGAAATGTATTACGTATTCACAGACTACTATCAACGACCCACATAGCGGGTTTACTAACTTAAAAAAAAAACGCTACTGAATGGTAGTCAACGGTTTCCGGCACCGTACAAATGACTTATTGGCGGAATCAAGAAAACTAACCACGAGAGAACGACTGGACGACTTCCAGTTTGACTAACAATTAACGACTGTTTAACTGTGAAGATAGACGGATCGAAACGCACCAATGACATTACGAGTCTTCAACCAGAGTTATACCATCAACTGACGTGATGCAACTCACTTTGAATCTGAAGATGACTACCGCACAGGTCGTCGAAAAACGGTCAGTCACTGTCAACAACAACAGTTTTATTTAGGACTGTGCTCAACAGGGCGATCATATTCAACCTACTTCTTATAATTATTACTCATGATTGTTATTTAATTTTTTAAAATTAATCTGTAATGTTTTCTATTGCTAACTCGAATTTATGAACATAGGAATGCTACAATGGCCGAAAGAAAGTTCAATATGGATCAAAGTAGAACAGAAAATACGCTGAGCGCCAACAGACAATCCGATCTGGAAATGGAATACAAAGACGACTTTAGGGATGGGGCTCGCGTTGACGCAATCGATAAAATAGAAGCCAAACTGACGAAGAACCAAAAGAGGGGACAAAATGCGACATCAGATCAACTGAAGGCATACAGACTTGCCTGCTTGATTTTTGAGGTAAAGTAACTGAAACATACAAACACACCAAAGGTTGACTTCAAAGCCAAAAAATTATTCTCATTCAATGACAGTCACCCCTTTTGCTTCGCTTTTCACCGGGGACGGCATTCTTCACCAGCAGAGCAGTTATCGACGACTAAACGTCACAAACGCACAGTGCTCACTATGAGTGGGAGGTAATAACGGCGTTTTTAACCTTTAACCACAGTAACAGTCAAATATATTACATTATAAAGTGACATACAAAATGCTATGTTTTAGATCTCTTCTTTTTATTATTAAACCCAAGTGAGAGCTAGGTGTTAATCTTTTGAAAACATTAACCCCCCCCCCCCCCCCCCCCACCACCACCGCTTGATTGTCTCATAACGTAAAGATGCTCCATACCGACCCTAGGATGGATGGAAACTCAGGTTAATACTGTACCTCGCCATGCAGGAAATACTAAAAGCCTTACCTCTGAAATGTTCTCTAAACCTGCTTATTTGTTGTTTTCGTGTTTGTTCCACGCCCTCAGATATCATACCAGTGCTCGTCAAAAGCAAGAGAAAGTTTCATTGACTTTTATTCTTCAATGCTAAAGACGTTAGTTGCTGAAGCACCTACTGTTGGCTCAAGTGAGAGCAAATACAGAAAGGTTGAGAATTAGTTTAATAAATGTCGGCAATATTATGAAAAGTTGTTATTTCCTGCGAGTTTACTAATAACTATCCGCGTTTTTCATAGGCCGATTTCTTTTATCAAAAACATTGTTAACAGGAGTTTATCTAGCGGTGTGAATATGGCCTTAAGTAACAACCTACTATATAGATTAGTGCTGTAGTCTGTTTGGGTTCATTATAGGTTACAACCCAACCAAGCCAATCCTCGGTCTAACAGGGGCAGGTATATGGATCCCAAGGATTCAAAACTCCGTGCAATTCCAGGCTGGATAATATACGGATCCCTTTTTGCGTCAGTATGTAAAGAATTTTATATCGATTTCACCAAACTTTAATGAGGCCACTTTTTATTAAAACACCTTGATTCACAATGGCCATATCTCAACATTGCTACAACTAAAATCGGCATAGACCCTACTCAGACCGGGAGCTTTTTGAGGCCCCCCTTGCTAAAAGCTTAAGAAACTTAGAGGCTTTTCCTTAAAAATTATCTGGGAACATTTTAAAGTGGTCGTGACGTGTACGTCAAAATTGACGGTACCATAGCAACCGAGTTTTGACAGCCATGTTTTATTCAGATTTGCTCTTTTCCTGCAAAAAGGGTTAATTTCTAGTTTTACTTATTCCATTATAGCTTTACTCATAATCTAGCAATATTTATATTCATATTTTATTCTATGCAAGGAGCAGGTCTAATATATGTGTTGAAATCATGATGGTTTGCTTCATTCATCGTCGGTTTTAACTTATCTCATTAGCTTTCTGATGTCAAGCGTTCAAAGCATTCTTCTGTTTCTCAAGATTCATTAAATGAGGTGATGGTGCTTGTAAAGGAGGACGCCTTGAAGCATAGCCTGGCAGCCCTTACGAAGGTACTGAAGACGACAAAATATATTAAGCCTTTTGACACAAGTTAAGTGATGGTCAGTTACTATGGTTACGAGATATGACGTCATAAGTAGCAGGTGGTCAAGCTATTTTTGATTGAAAATGCATGTTTTTTTTCAACATTTTTCAGCAATAAAAGTAAAACTTGTGGATAAAATATTAGTTATGTGTTATTTTACAAGTTAAGCGCAAAAAAATAGAGGATATTACCTGGCCGCGCGAAGATACGAAATTTCTCTTCAAGCGATATTTCACGAGTGAGCGCAGCGGCCATGTAATGTTCTATTTATTATATAAACACCAATGAAATACAAACAATTTCACTTTAACAGTTTTTTTGGTGTGAAAGGAGCGATTTATTATGTAGTCATAGCAAAGGCGATATTTTCACATGTGAAGATAACATGTTATTTTGACATGTGAGGATATCAAGTTTTCGGTCGAAAGCTCACCTGGTATTTCATTGGTGTTTATATAGTAAATATTGATTCTCACTGTTTTTACCTGATTTTTATTCTTGATAAAATCCAAGATGGCGACCAAGATGGTGACCGTGTTTGGTGACGCCACAGTCCTCCAGCGGCGCCACCATCCATAAAATATACTTCAACTTGTAGAGAAGATCAAAGACTTTCTACTGAAGGCAAAATTGTTTCGAAATACTGAAACAAATAAAAAACTCGAGGGGGGTCCATCAACAACCACCCCCTCTCCTTGTACCAGGGTGGGGGTATGACTTTGTGTGTACGTCCAAGTGTTAAGATAAAAACAAATCGCGCCTTACATTTTTTTTTTTAATCAAAGCATGCAGGGTGCGGGCTCCTGGTGATAATTACATTAAACCATGTGTCCTTGCATAATATCATAGTTGACGAATTATTCCTTAATTTTGGCGCGAAATTTCAGCTTTAGTTTATAGCAGAGCTCCACGCGGCTCCAAGCGCGCGAAGCGGAGCACCATGGGTAAGAAAATTTGGAAATCTACCCATCCGAGAACTATTGGTAATCACGTGACCGTACGCCCCACCGACCGTGGTCCGCACCACGGGCATACCAATCTAAAATAACTCAACTAAAAGGTGTGGCAACCCAAACGCAACTCGAGGTTATTTTGGCGGGAAATCGCATAGCCACCCGCGTCTTGTGAAGCAGAGACAACTACAGAGACAACAAAGACGAAAACGGAAAGCGGAAATTGTTTCTGTATCTTTGTTGTCTAAAGCATTAACCTTAGATTAATTGTCGTGTCCACAAAATTTGGAATATAGAGAAAAAATAAAGTGGGTGAAAGGCCAGTGAAGCTCAACGAAGAAAAGAGAGCTAGAGCGGAAGATAAGGCGCTATTTTGTTGGAAGAACAACATGAAAAAATACACAACGGGTCCATAATAAATGCTGCACGGGCCATAAAAGTGACATGTGATGCCATTTTATTATATTAATTTTGATCAGAACGGGCCTCCATAATTCTAACGGGTTTTTTGTCAAAAAATTCTGAAAATTCTTAACTTAAGCTCTAAACGTTTGAGAGTGTGGAGTTCTCGATCTATACGATCCAGGATAAACATGTCAAAAATCCTCGATTGCTAACGTAATTCGTCACCAATGATATTAATACTTAGTCAAATGGTATAATTGTGAAAAATTAGGGAATAATTCCACTTGCGTTTTGTTCAAATCCTAATTTTTTCCTGAGACTAAATTATAAGGATTTGGACAAAACGCGCGTCGCAAAATTGTTTCCTATTTTTACTTCTCACCATTTGATTACACATACTTAGCAACCGAAACAACCTTATGGAAAGGAAATAAAAACCATATATGTGTGTGTTAACCCTGGAACAACTGTGACGCGCAACGGTGAAACGTCTTATATGGGTCTAAACAATCCAGATAAATTACATTCCTAAGCTTTTTTTGCAAAAACATTCTAGTAGAGTAACAAATATCATCACATCGTCATCATTATCATAAATATTGTTTTTCTTTGTACATCTCTAAGGAAAAAAAGGGCGGTGCGAGCTTTTACAGAGGGTGCAAAACAGCTATGATATGATTACTTAAAACATAAAACACACGTTGTTTCTTTTTACAGGACGTCAAAAAGGACCTCAAGAAAAGATGGAAAGAAAATGACAAGAAACTTCTTCCAAACTATGAAAAAAGTCTTAAAAATGATTTAAAAGGTTACATCGAGTATTGCACCCGATTCGCTTGGCGCATCGTGACTCAAGTTCCACCGTTAAAGGTTGACTATCAAAGTTCAACTTTTAATCCCTCTTATCAGAATGAGAGTCAGGCTATTTCATTCTCTGCCAAGCAAAGTACCTCTGAAAGCTGGGTCGAATCCCAAGGGCGTAAACAAATTAAGTGTTTCGTATGGCCAACTCTTTTGGACTCGGAGAACAGAGTTATAGAGAAGGGAGACGTCGTTTTACACTGAATTGGGGAAGGAATAAATGGGTTATCTTTTTTTTTTTTTAAATAGGAATAACCGTTCTATGAAAAGCTCGCTATTAAGCATCACCATTTTATAGTAGCCATACGTTATTTTAGAGACTTACCTGTTGTTAGGATACTGATTAATAAATCAGCAAACATAGTTTAAACTTAAAGACAAGGTTCCCGTTACAGTCAAGTGTAAAACTAGCCTGCAGTGCAGAGGAAGATTAGGGAGAATAAAAATAGTAACCCTTACGGTATCTTTCGAATTTCAACATGGCGCTTTCGCCAGCAAAACATTCTCGCGCCCGAAGAAAACGCCTGCACTGCAGGCTAGTGTTAAACTTGATTTTCCTCCTTGTGGAGCAAACTTTCAGTAGAGAAATAATTACCAAAAAAGAAAAGAAAAAACCCTATTGCATGGACATTTTCTGATTAACGTTCTGAGAAAAAAGTTTCTCTAAACTAAAAAAAAAAGAACAATAAAATAAAATATTACGTGTGTCGAAATGGGGAACCACATTTACAGTACATGTAGTTCGCCTTTTTTCATCCGTAGCCTATGAAAAGCCGGAACTGTCGCCTACAGTAATTTATGGCTAAATTTGTTGTATTGCGCTGCGCGTTTTGCAAACTTCGAAGGAATTTTGGGTTTTTCTATTCTGTCAATCATCTTAGCGGACCTATTAGGAAACACATGTTTACTTGTAATTGGTGCATTTTGATGCACTTTGTTTGTTTCTGTGCTTCAAGGTTCGCTGCTTGTGATGGTCTTGTTTCGCACTGTTTCTGGCAATGACCGACTATCTTTCTTCGAAGCTTTTTATGATCGATCTTTCTTATTCTTGTCTCTTGCAAGAATAAAGCAATGATCCCTATGTACGTCAACAACCTGAAGGAAATTGATTGGTATGCTAGTTAAGCGCAACTCAAAGGGACAAACCCCCATCCCGAAAATTAAACGTAATAATAGAGCTGACCCTAATAAGGCTGAGATTGCCTCAATTTAATAAGCATTTTGTCAATGTGGGTCAAAACCTGGCCAAAAGAATTGAAAATTGTGATGGAAGTCTGACCCAATTCATAAAATCGACTCCAGTAGCTAGCTTTGTTATGTCCTGTGTTACTGAAACCCAAGTATGTTCATCATTTAAAGGTTTAAATGATCATAAGTCATCCTTAGATATTCCTAATAAATCAATTAAAATAGCTGCCCAGCCATTGGCAATACCTTTAACATATATCTATAACCAGTCTATTGAAACTGGAATTGTTCCTGATATTTTAAAAGTCTCACAAATTTCCCCAGTGTATAAGGGTGGCGATGCTACAGACCCTAGCAACTATCGGCCCATAGCAACTCTGTCACCTTTTAGTAAAGTGCTCGAGCGTCTAGTCTATTTAACAATTATTCCACGAGGGCGCGTTTGATATGAGATGATAGATAGCCAACGAGGCGCATAGCGCCGAGTTGGCTATAATCATCTCATATCCAACAAGCGCGAGTGGAATAATTGTTTTATTAAAAACGCCCACAAAATCTCGTTGAATCTCCCCGACTAGAACAAACCGGAAAAGACAAGGGACTTCCGCTATTCACATGTCACACGTCTATCAAAACTGTCAACGCGCGAACGGACTCGCCTGGACTGCATGAATGAAAAATCAAAACATTGTAGCGATGAACATTAGTTTTTTAAAAACTCATCGGGATTCTAGGATTTTACACAGCAGAACAGCTAAAAAACCTGGCAGATAATGTGAAGGAAAAGAATTTTTAAGTGACAGCCGTCGAAATTACTGTGAATTTGGATTTTCGGTGCAGTTATAAAAGTAAGAACAACGGAGAAAAACTATTACCTCGGTCGCTTGTTATGAAGTTGTTTGAAGCCACAAGCTGGTTTCGCTGAACGAGAAAAGAAGCTATACTGCCGCCTCGATTGCTCTAGTGAATGGCTGCATAGCCTGTATTTGTAGCTGGTTACTTGTGATTTATATTCTTGATGTCGGATAAACAAGCCGCAGTTATCTATCGGCGAGTGACTCGATCTGCGAATGGCTTCGCGATCATGAAGAAACAACACTTGTCTTCTTTCGTAGCTGGTCAAGGTACATTAGTGCCATGTGTTTTCATGTGTTTTTCGACAAACTTTCCAACAAGCTCTTGTGGCTTTTTTGTTTGTTTTTGTCTTTTTTCTTTCGATGAAATTGCATTTCTAGTATTCTAAGAAATGAATGAAAACAATTTGCTTCGAGCGCCGTTCTATCCTTCGCGAAAAAAAATCTCAGCTAGCTTCCAATTTTAAACTGACGCGTACACCGACTATATATGGAGAGCATGGTATAATAGCTCATATACCATAACGGCTAAGCCAATCAAAATGCTAGAATTGCATTATCCAATGATTCAGTTTTTAATAAAATCAGTTATATTCGTTCATAGATAAACATCAAATCTTGTACAAATATCAGTTTGGATTTAGGAAAGGATATTCCACTGAACAAGCTATTCTTGAAATTACTGACAATCTGAAGTTAGCTACTTATAAAGGTCAAATAACATGTGGTTTATTTCTCGACCTATCAAAGGCATTTGACACAGTAAATCATAAAATACTGCTCTCTAAACTATATCTCTATGGATTTCGGGGTACACCACATAACTGGTTTGAAAGTTATTTGCACAATCGAAGACAATATGTTAAAATTGACTCTACTAAATCTAGCCATGAAAATATTATCTGCGGTATACCCCAAGGCTCGACTCTAGGTCCTCTTTTATTTTTGCTCTATGTGAACGACTTACCAAACTTTGTCGATAAACTTTCGGTGCAGAGCTTTGCTGATGACACCAATTTATTTTACTCTAGCGACAACTTAAAACAGCTTGAATCCGTAATGAATCAAGAGCTTAAACAAATTTATAACTACTGTGCTCTAAATAAGTTATCTCTAAACACTATAAAGACTAATTACATGTTAGTCTCATCATCTAGGTGCCACCCAAGGATAAATATAACTGGTATTGAACAGCAAGATTACATAAAGTACTTGGGAGTTTATATAGATAAACATCTCAATTGGCAACCACAGATGCAACATGTACTGAGATAATAAATTAGCTGAAAATTTAGGAATACTTTCAAAACTAAGATATTACATAGATCTGAATATACTGAAACAAATTTATTATGCTTTAATATATCCCTATTTGAGTTACGGTATTCTTGCTTGGGGATGTGCCAGCAAAACCAGATTAGATTGTCTTCGTATTAAGCATAACAGACGTCTCCGCACCATCTTCTTTGTACATCCTAGAGAGAGTGCTGCTCCCTATTTCAAACTCTTAACAATCCTTAAATTGGATAATAGCGGAGCTCTCGCGCGCGAAGCACCATGGGTAAGAATATCTGGTAAACTATCCGTCCGAGAAAATTTGGTTATGACGTAGAGTACGCCCGCCCGCCCACACACTTCATGTAAGCCGATGTCAAGTGTCACACTTGTCAGGAGCGAGAAATAAATAACAACGGAGACTAATTTCGTTGGAAGAAAAACATGAAAATTATATAGCGGCGGTTAGAAAACGAGAAATGCTAGCGGCTACTAATGTGAAAAAGGAGCGGCAGTGAAAAAGCAGAGTGAACAGGAACACAAACATTTCCTCCAAAAATTCACGTAAATAGGAAGCTAAAAGAAGTTTCACGTTAAAACAAAGGTAAGGAATGTACAAAAAAACTGCTGCACGTGCAAAGTTGTTTTTTTGCTAATTAGATCTATTGTTGTTGTTTTTACCGTTCTCGTGGCTTTCAACTTGTCTTTAGTATTACTCGATTTTATAATTTCTTTGAGGAATCTATAAATATTAAAGAGAGCGTCGCTTTTAGCCGTGGCTAAATCTATATATTATATATAAATTAAAAATATGTTGCTTTATACATCGAATGAGAAATGAGACTGATAGCATTCCAGATATTTTCCTTGATGTCCTGACTCCAGCATCGCGTATACACAATCATAATACAAGATTTGTCAGTAATCTGAACTATTTTAGGCCAAGAGTATTCACCAACTTAGGTAAGACGTCCTTTAAATTCTCCGCTCCAAAAATCTGGGAGACTGTACCGCCTGGTCTCAAGTGTCTGCCATATCATAAGTTTAAGAAAGAATGGAAGTCCTGTCTTCTAACCAACCAAATCTGACCTTGCTTATATGTTCTATCACTGATATTATCTGAGTTTTTATTCCTCTCTTTACTGCTGCCAATTATTTCAACATGATGGTGTCCAACAAGAAAGCTCTTGCTACTTTGGACACTGTACACAAATGAACTTAATGTCTTTTAGTTAATTACACGGGACGAAAAATTGGATTTACTGCACTTTTGACACGCGTCAAAAGTTAAGTCAAATATGGTATTGGTTTTGACTTCACCTTTGACGCGCGTCAAAGATGTCGCCAAATATATAACCTCTTTGCTTACTCCTTTGACCTCGGTAAAGGTGAAGTCAAATTGGTAACAACTTTGACTTCTCCTTTGACGCGCGTCAAAGATGAAGTCAAATGAATCAATTCTTTGCTATTCCTTTAACCCTTATCAAAGTCGTTGTCAAATATGCTGGTAACTTTGACTTTACCTTTGATGCACGTCAAAGATGAAGTCAAAAGTGTAGTTAGCTGTGACCACACCTTTGATACTAGACAAAAATGAAGTCAAATACGACCGCTACACTTTTACAACACTTTTGAATGGTGCTGAAAGGTGAGAGGAAATATGCAATGAATTACGTCTACAAACACTTAGTCGAAACTGATGTTAAGAAAGGAAATTAAAAAGCTGTAATTGAATACTGTTTTAAAGATATTTATACGACAATACCGAACACGGGCGGGTAATCATTGTAATTGTTGTTTTATAATTATTTTTGAAAATGTTCTAGAATATGTACTTTTTCGAAGTGATTTTTTTTTGTCTTATCTTGAGTGGATATTTTCTCCCTGATCGATCAATATTATATACCATGTAA